CAGCAACCTTCGTGATTCCCCTGTCTCTACCTCACAAGCAGTATAATTACAATGCCACAGCATCATGCATGACCTCTAAAATGCTGATTCTGGAGATGCAACCTAAGGCCTCATGATTACAAAGCTGACCCATCTCCCAACTTGAAAGTTAATTATTGATGCAATACTTTGCTTTCTTGAGTATAATGAGATTTTGCCAAATCTGGTTAACCGTGTATTTTCAGCTCAATTCATATTTGTACTAGAGGTGATAAAAATACTTGCCGTTAATTTAACACTCTGATTCATTATACTCATTTGGTACATCCAGAGTTTTTTCCACCTGATGCTCTAGATATAGACAACATATATCATGTTATATCAAAACTAGCATGTTTTAAATGTCATTACGATTTTCTCTATTCAAATCCCTATGGATTTCTATCAGATACAGTAAATTTAAATTGACCAAAGATAATTCAAATAAAAACTTACATTATGCCTATGTTGTAATGCTGTGGGGAGTTACTGTTGAAGTCTCCTACATTACTTTGATTACATGCACTTCATTTGTGATATACCTTTGTAGTTTATCCCATCAAGAGTGTGAATTTAGGACCTGATAAAGTGACTGACCCTGTTGGTTGAGAAAGTGTTTGTCTTAAAATGTGAGAACTTGTGTTTGATCCATAGAACTCACATGGGAAGGGCACATATGGTGACTACATACAACTGCAATGCAGGACAGATGGATACAGCAGGATTTCTGGATCTCACTGTGTAGGCAGTGCAGCCCAGTTGTTCTCAACCTGTGAGCCATGGACACCTTTGTGGGTTGCACATCACATTTCCTGCATATCAGATATGTGCATTATTATTCATAGAAATAGCAAAATTACACTTGAGAAATAGCAATAAAATAATTTTATGGTTAATATACTTAGGGGTCACCACAACATGAGGAACTATATTAAAGTTTTGTAGCATTAGGAAGGTTGAGAATCACTAATATAGCCTAAATGGTGAGATTCAAAATGATAAGAGAAACTGTTATAACATGGCTTGATAGATACTCTGAGTAATGAAGCTTCAGGTTGACCTCTGGCCTGTACACACCGGGAGATAAAGGTGTGAGTGTTCCTGTACACATATGTGCTCTTGCACAAGTTGTCCTCCATATTCTCCATGTGTACATTGGCAAATGTGCTCCTTGCACACATCATCATGCACACATATACACAAATGGACAATGCACAATGGGAAGTTAAGAACTGTGAGAACATCCTGGGAACTACAGTGCTTTCCATTCCACAGCCTTTTATTTCTTATGTAACATGATGTTCTTACAGACTGTTGCCTTTTCTGCAGTGAATTTCTAGCAGACCATGAAGGAGAGCTCAACATCTGGGAACCAGAAGCTGTCTGTGGTTGGCATTCCCATGCTTGAGCCCACTTTCTGTTACATTCAAACTGACTAATTTATAACTAAAACTGGGAATTATGTAACTTCCAAAACATTGGTTGGTATTTATTTCTTTGATCTGTGAGCTAATTAATTTATACCAAACAGTGGTTTCCTTGAAACAGAAACACAGAAACTGAGATCTTGAACAGAATCTATTCAAGGCTGAAGTTAAAGGCCAAAATAAACTTGTGGTGATAGTGCTAACAATGCATTTGGGGAGACTACAATACCCATACAATTTGACATACTTAAGCAAAAATGCAACTGTTTTGAACTCAAATTTATCATTACTCTAATAACAGTACTATGAAGAACTAAGGTTTTTCCATGGGCTCATATTGAATACTGAAATGCCAATAGCTTGTGAAAAATGTTTCTATCTGTAGGGGAAAAGGCTCAGCCAAAGAAACACACCCTGAGCAAAGTCAAAGAAACACACTTTGGCCCTGGAATCAGAGCCAGTGAAAGAAATACACCCTGGCCCTAACATTAGAGCCAAAGTCTAAAAAAGGACCAGTGAAAGAAACACACTTCGGCCCTGAGACCAGAGCCAAATCTGACCCTAAACCTGTGTAGAAAACCAGCCAATTGCCGGGCGGTGGTGGCGCATGCCGCACACCTTTAATCCCAGCACTCGGGAGACAGAGGCAGGCGGATCTCTGTGAGTTCGAGGCCAGGCTGGACCGACAGCCTCCAAAACAATACAGAGAAACCCTGTCTCGAAAAACCAAAAAAAAAAAAAAAAAAAAAAAAGAAACCAGCCAATCCCTGAGCAGGAGATCTAGCCTTTGTAAGCTCAGGGACTGAAATCTGACTAATACCCATCCTGGAAATATCCCTGGAAAAACTCTGTCCCCTAAGAATCCCTATATAAACCCTGTGTCTGTTCAGCTTCTGGGTGTTCAGGCTGCCCAGTTGTACCCTGACACTCTGGCAAAGGGCAGCCACTCTTCTGGATTCTTCCCTCCCAGTAATTCTTTTGAATGAGGTTTGGGTAAGATCTTTTTCAGTTGGAGCAGAAACGACCCTGGGCAGAGTAGAGCCTAGCAGGGCTGTAACACTTTTTGCCTTGCTAAGCAGAGCTATTACACTTCAACCTCTGGGGGATCAAAGCCAAACTGTAACAACTTCGCAGGGTATACTCTCTCCTGCTGCAGCAGAGCTGATACACTGGGAAGACTTTCCCTGAAACAGGGCTGTAAACTGCTATGCTTACGGTAACCTGTGGTATTCCTTGGCTCCTGATTGCCAGATACCTTTCCATATGAGCTGTAACAATCAGTAGTCCTTGGCTCCGGAGTGCCAGAATCCCTGTCTAATCCCATCTGATCCATCGACATGCTTACACTATTAAGCTAAGAAATCCAACTTAATGCACACCGTTTCTTTCGTTGAATGTTTTTGTTATTACCTTTATACTGAGACTTGCCTAGCTACAGTAGTTTAAAGGCAAGAATCCTGGAATATAATCATAGATCTCTGCTGAATAATATAAGAAGGAGAAAGATGAACCTTATTTACTTTAAATATTTTGGAATTATAATATGTACTGGACACTATTAGAAAATACTACAATTTCAAAACTAAATAGGTTGTGAAAATGAACTCAGTACTTATCGGCTAACACTTAATCACTTGAAGATTTATGATGTCATATTATTATTTTGTTATTGTTTTTGTAAAATCCTGACACGAATTCAGTAACATTTTAATGCAACACTTGACTGTCTGTTAAATAAGTTATTTATAATAAAGTATAGAACCATGAAAATGACATTTTTAACTGGAATAAGACTTTTAAACCATTGGTAATGTTTTTAAATTTGTTCAACAATTTTTTAAATGATTATACCATGGGGGTGACAATGACAGCTGTTTTATTTTATACCCAATGAACCTGAGCATATTAGTTACTTTTTTATCACTATGATAAAATATCCTCACTAAAAATAATTTAAGGAAGAAAAGGTGAATTTTGGATGACAGTCCCAGAAGGGTAGAATACATCATAGATACAGAAGACAAGGTAACAGGAGCAGAAAGGAAAGAGATCACATTTTATTCACACACAGAAAGAGGAATGTGCTTATGAACCTTCACAGACCATTTCTTCTGATGATACATTGCTTCATAAAAGAAACAGTAGAACCGGATGACATTATTTATTAAAGTTCTAAGACACTTAGATAGTAGTGTGTATCAACACAAGGATAATAAACATAATTTTGGAGATATATTGTTTATGATCTGACAAAGCTTGCCTGGAGATAAGATGCAAAGCTGGCAGCAGCCTTAAAGGCTGGTCCGTGGTGGTACACCTTTAATCCCAGCAGCCACACTAGTTAGCAATGGAAGATGGGTGGTGGTAGTTCATGTCTTTAATCCCAACACTAGAAAGGTATACAAGACAGGAGCTCAGGGTATTCAGGATTCAGGATTTGGCATTCAGTCTCCAGCCACGCTGAGGACAGGATGATCCCAATCTTGGTAGCAATAAGAACTCTCTAGTGGCTGGCTTCATCTTGAATCCCAACATTTGTCTCTGGGTTTTTATTATTTGTGCTAAAGTCTCTAATGATGTACTTCTTCCAGCACGACTTCTCATATATTTAAATTTTTTTCACCATGCTTTTGTAATAATGTATGTAAGCAGTATGTAATAATGATAATTACACAAATCTCAAAAGCATTACTAGTCATATTATTTGAAGAGCATAAAAGATTAGAAGAGAAACACCAATTATTTCTTTTTCTTCAAACTGCTCACACAAAGTTCATACCCATTTTCTCTGTTGACAAGACTTAATAGTTTACTGAGATTAATGGGCTAAAAAGTCCTTGCTTTAGGGAAGGGAAAGAAATCATAGAAGCATAACAGAATTATGGAAGGAAAAGATTGAAAATTTGTAGGAGTCATAAATTAGTTTGAAATAAAGGGTTAGCAGGGGTTAGTTATTGAATTTAAGTCAAAAAAGAAAAATATTTTTATTTACACTTATCTGAAAAACATGAAGCTTCAAGTGCTGGCATCTTTATAATTAAAATGTCTTGCTTTTCTAATCTGGCCAGGCTTTTGGGTAACGGATAGCCAACCTCTGACTAACAAAGAAGACAGAGCAAAAGTACCCATGAAATTAGCTGAAGAGTCTAAAGGTTCATGAAAATTAATTGTCCAATGTGTTTATATTTTTAGGAGAATTTAAGATATTAATACATCTGTGAAAGTCTCACTAGGAGACAGCTTACTTTTATTAGCATATTTTATTACTTGTCTTACAATATTATATTTTTATCCCATTACTCTATTTTAATGGTTAGCATATTTCTGTTTTAATTAAAACACCAAGCTACACATATTCTATCCAGTACTGTTTTAGAATTATCCTTAGAATTATTGTAGAAATGATTCATTTGAACAAAAGGATTATGATCATAAAACTAATGATAATATCACTAAACTGAAACAGAATGTAGCAACTACCAGCAAAACTTATGGAATATTCTTTGTTAATAAAATGTATAGTCCCTCAGTACATAACTGTGTAACTCAACTTACCTTAAGAAAGAAGCTGTCATAATCTGTCCTGTATAAAATTATTGTCACCCTGGAATAAAGAAAATTCAATATAACTACTGTAGTTCAATAACTCATACTAATAAAATATGAACAAGAGTCAGAGACATCCCCTTCTCTCCCACTGTTAACAGTCCCACGAAAAGACCAAACTATACAACTGTCAGATATAGACAGAGGATCTAGGTCAGTCCCAGGCTGCTTCTGATTTTGTTACTGGCTTTTAGAACCATATTCCTCATACTGGGGTGCATTGCCCAGCCTCAATAAAAGGCAATGTGCTTGGTTTTACTACAACTTCATATACCATGTTTTGTTGATATCCATGGAAAGCCTGCCTTCTGAAGAGAAACAGCGAGGACTGGATGGTGGTAGAGGGTAGAAGGGACATGGGGGGGTCAGGAAGAAGAGAAGGAAGGGGAAACTGCATATCCTTATATTTACTATGTTTTATAAATAGATATTTATTATGAATATCACAAGATATTTTGTTGAATTAAACTATGCATTAAAAGTAATCAAATAAAATAGTAATATAACATACTGCAAAGATGTCACATAATAATTATCTTTTATCATAATTGATTTTATACTAATCAATGAATTATATTACAGTAATTCACTTATGTTCTTGGCTATTTTCTCTTTCTCCATGAAAGTAATTTTAGTCTATGGTACTGAGTTTCTCTTCACCTAAAAACACATTGGGTAGTTTGCTACAAATGTATCCATGTTATTGATTTTTCCATCATCTATAAGGGCTTACAACATTCACGAGATTGCTCCTGCTACAGCATTATAAATTCATTGCCTGGAACACAGTTTGCTATTGAATGCCTGCCAGACTATGTTAACAAGGGTGTTCACAAGAAAACCAAAGCAGTAATATACACAATGAAAATATGAAACAAATTGGGTAAAGATTGCTTCCTTTAAAGTCATTTACATTTACCTAACCAACGGAAGAGCAAGAAATAATTATTCTATTACTTATCACCAATGCTTTCTTATGTACACAAAGGTACATTTTATATTACTAAAAGTTCACTACTATTCTGATGCTACCTTGGATTATTAGTGTATTTCCGAGGAGGAGCAATGATGCTGTTTTCTTGAATACAACCCCAAGTACAAATCAATTTCGGAAGATCACAGCCATTTGTAGAAATTCACAAGTTATTAGCTCAAATATCTTGAATGGCTAAATTATTACTAGAGAGACTGTCAAAATTTAGTAAGAATATTAATATTTAGAACAGCTTCATTTTTTTTGATTTTTGACATTTAGAAATGTTTTCACTTTGTAAATATTTTATTTGGGCTAATGTGCACATGAGTGTAGAGTTGTGTGTACATGAGTTTTTATATATATGGAACTGAATTTACATGCATTTATAAGCTGCCCAACCAGATGCTGGAAACTGAACTTGATTCCTTTGTAGGAGCAGCATTGATTCTTAACCACTGAGCCATCTGTTTGAATACTGAGTGATTGTCTGGATTTTATGTGTTTTGGGGTGTTTTTAAATAGCAGTTTAGAACTTATATTATTTAGCATGTATATCATTTTTCAACATTTTAATTTGGATAGTGTAATAGCTCAATACATGCATGTAATACATAATAATTAGGATATATAATATAGGCATATCAAATATTTTCATTTTTTATGTGTAGTTGGCAATTAAGAACCAATTTCAATTCCTGATGTTCTTATTTTAAATCAGTTTGCTATGAATATATAGTTTCATTTCTTGTTTTTATATCCTCTTTTATTGGTCTAACTGTCAATTTTTATGCATTACTGTGGTATATATGTAATTACAGACATGTGTGATAGGGTTTCCACCTTTGATCTTAGGGCTCAGGAACAAGCAAAAGAATCTGAGACATCCCCACTCCTACTATTAGGAGACACATTAAAACAGTGACTTACAGTTCATGTTAGAGATCATTCACTCCTTGTTAAATTTATTCTCAGGAATTAATTATTGGACTTTGGTTAATGTTTTTTTCTTGGTTTCTCATCAGTTATTTCATTACTAGCATGTAGAAACAGCTCTGATTTTGATTTGTTGCTTTTTTAAACTTAACTTAGTTTGTTTGCCAACTGTAAAAGTATTTTAGTGATGCCTTCAGGGTTTTACCTATAATAGATAAAGCAGTCTGCAAAAGGATGAGTTTGACTTCCTATTGTCAATCTCAGCATCTTTTTGTTTCTTTTGCCTAGTTAATTTGAACAAAATTTCCACTACCATGCTGAATATCTATATCAAAGTGTATATATTCAACCGGGCATTGGTGGCACACAACTTTAATCCCAGCACTTGGGATTTTTTTCAAGGTTGTGGGTTCAATCACCCTTTGACTGGTCTTATTAATGTGTACTATTTGTGTCAGAATGATTTTAAGGAATCATCTCCATATCATTTTTATAATAGTTTAAGAATAATTAGTGAACTTTTTAAGTGAAATAATTCAACAGCAATGCACTCTTTGCCTAAGTTTGCTTGATTTGTTTAGGGGAGATACAGAGATACAATTTTAATATTTACTTCTACATTTTTGTTTATGTACAGGTATCTGGGTCTGGATCTGTGTATTCAGGTATGAATGAGGGTACCCACAAAATACAGAAGAGTGCATTTTATCTCCAGAAGCCAAGGTTAAAGACAATCATAACCAGCCTGTAATTTTTAGTTTGTTACTACTTAATAATTTAGAGCTGCCTATTATGGGTGGTTGGAATCAAACTTCTGTCTTGTGAAAGGAAAGTAAGTGCAGTTATCCACAAAGTTATCTTTCCTACTCCACATTTTTTCTCTTATTGTCGGTTTCTTTAGGTTTGCTACTTCTTCATGGTTTTCCAATTTGTTTCTTTGTGTCTCTCGAGTATCACTATAATTTCTCTTTTATCATTTCCAATTTTGAGCATTCATGGTTTTCTTAATCGTGTTAAAGTTTTGTTTTAACAGTGTATCTTGCTGTCAGGTCTCTGTTTTTGGTTGCAGAGTTGGTAAATGGGTGATATTAACTATCAATTTATTAATGAACAATTGCCTTTCTTCTCCAGTAGTGTGCTGAGCACTTTCTAGTACCATGAATTCTAGCAGTATGGGGAAATATTCTAGTTGGGCATAAGCTTGACTTCATAGTGCTCAATGATTTAATCATTCTGCATGACATGTCATTATATACAGAAAGGGCGTTTGGCACAATCCAAACTTCCTCTGCTAAAAAATTCCTGGAGAGATAAGAGATACAAAGGACATAACTTAACATAATAAAGGCAATGACTGAAAATCCACATCCAGCATCTAACTAGATGAGGAGAAACTCAAAGCATTTCCCTCCAAATCAGAAATAAAATATTGAAATCCACTCTATGCCTACTCAATATACCTCTTCAAGTCTTAAGCGTAGCAATTAGACAAATAAAGAAGATCAAAGAAGAAGTCATAGTATCATCATTTATAGATGATAAGGTTTTATACATAAGAGATCCTAAAAATTCATTGGAAAATTTCTACAGCTGGCAAATAATTTCAGCAAATTTGCAGGATTCAAAATTAATATACACAATTCATTAGTCTTTCTATATACAAATGATAAACACACTGAGAAAGAAATCAGGTTAACAGTACCTTCTACAATAGTTGCAAAATTCTGTTTATTTTTCTACATTGACTAACAAACTCCTAAATATTCTATGTAACTGACAAAGCATAAAGACTTCCCTTTATTCTAAAACAAATTCATAACCACATTGAAAGCAAATGAATATACTCAATGTCTTACTCATTTCATTTACACTCACCTAATTGAAATAAATGATTTACCTCTGTAAAAGATTTCCTGGCAGGCCTGTGCTTGGGGTCTGCCACTGAGGCTTCCCTCCCAGTGGCAGGAGCCAATGCACCTCAGCAACTGATTCTACTGCGCCACCCACGGGACTAGGTAAACCAGGGCCCATTTCCATGCTTACTGCCTGTTCTTGGGGTCTGCCACTGTGGCTTCCATCCCAGCAGCAGGAGCCAAGGCACTCCAGCATCCTAGTCTCCTGCTCCACCAATGGGACTACGCAAACCAGGGCTCAACTCCGGGCCGCCTGCCTACAGAAAATTCTGGAAGGAAATCTCCAACCCAAGGAAGCTAACTACAACCAGAAAAACATAGCCAATAGATAATCCCACTTTACCAACAGGCAAAAGAAAAAGTGGTGGAAATCCACATACAATTCTACCAACAACAACAATTCCAAAACAAATGAGGATGGGTTATCAATGGTCATTACTATCCCTCAATATTAATGGTCTTAACTAGCCCATAAAAAGACACAGGCTAACAGAATGGATTCGAAGAGTGAATCCATCCTTCTGCTGCATATAGGAAACACACCTCAGCTTCAAAGACAGACATTACATCAGAGTTAAGGGTTGGGAAAATATTTTCCAATCAAATGGACCCAAGAAACAAGCATGGGGAAGCAATCCTAATATCTGACAAATTAGACTTTAAACTAAAATCAATCAAAAGAGATGAAGGAGGTCACTTCATACTCATCAAAGGAGAAATCCACCAAGATGAAGTCTCAATTCTAAACATCTATGCCCCAAATGCAAAGGAATCCATGATAGTAAAAGAAACATTACTAAAATTCAAAGCACATATAAAATCTCACACACTTACAGTGAGAGATTTCAACACCCCACTGTCACCTCTAGACAGGACTACCACACAGAAACTTAACAAGGATATGAAGGAACTAATAGAAGTTATGATCCAATTGGGTTTAACAGACATCCAAACACAAAAGAATACACCTTCTTCTCAGTGCCACAAGGAACCTTCTCAAAAATCAAGCACACACTTGGAAACATAGCAAACCTCAACAGGTATAAAAAGAATGGAATATCTCCATGTATCTTATCAGACCACCATACTTTAAAGTTAGAATTCAACAACAACACAAATTGCAGAAACACTGCAAACTCATGGAAATTGAAAAATGCAAAGTTGGGTCAAAGAAGG